TAATTAATCTGTTGTAAATAATCTATTTAATTATATAATTACTCAGAAGATACCAGTAGTTCAAGGGCATTACAGAAAGAGGAAACAAAGGGAAAGGGAACTTAGAGTGTTATGTACTTTGTATTCGTGTTCTCATTTTTTTAAATCTTTTTTTTTTCTTTATATCTTTATTTTTTTTTTTTTTATGTGGTGCTGAGGATCGAACCCAGTACCTCACAAGTGTGAGGCAAGGGCTCTACCGTTGAGCTATAACCCCTATTTAGACGGGCAGTTTAAATTTTTTTTTTTTAGTTGTAGATGGACACAATATCTTTATTTTTATTTGTTTATTTTTATGTGGTGCTGAGGATCGAACCTCAGCCCCTTGTGTTCTCATTTTAATCCTTAAAATAAATTTTGGAATAGAAATTATCTTAATTGTGTGAATGGGTTAAGTAAAGCTAAGTTGTTTGCTGGTTTTCTTTTTATTTATCAGTTCTTCCTAGAGACTCCAGTGGATCTAAGAAAGCCTTCTAAAGCTGTTTATTTATTTATTCCTAGACCTTTTTAATTTTTATTTTGAGACAGGTTCTTGGTAAATTGCTTAAGGTCTCACTAAGTTGCTGAGGCTAGTTTTGAACTTTTGATTCTCCTGCCTCAGCCTCCTGAGTCGCTGGGATTACAGGCATGCATCACCATGTTTAGCTAAAACTGTTATTATTTTTTTAAAAATTAAGCTATCAGTGGACAACCTTATTGAATTTTCACAAAGCCTGAATATTTGGCAAAATAAAAAGCATGTTATCTAAAGGACTTAAGAAATGTCAAAATATGATATATTTTCAATTGTATGAGGATTTAAACTCATGTTCTATAAAGATTAAAATAACTTTTTATTTTAAATTTAGTTGTAAACAGTGTCTTATTTTGGTTTCTAAAATGATCTATAAGAGATCCTCATATTTGCCTCTGGGTTGAATCCCCAAAGCATTAGGACCAAAGTCCTAATGGTGTTTTCTATGTTATCCAGTGCATTAGACAATGCATCATCCCATTTCTCTCCTGGTAGCAAGTCCTCTACTCACTCCTGCTGTCCCTGTCTTCTTTGCTCTATCTTTCAGATTCTTTATAGGTTAATTGCAACTGTGTCTTCATGGAGATCTCTTCACCGTCAGCCTGGAAATTCCCTTCATCTCTCTTCTGCCAGATCTTAATTTTTCATTTATTTTGGTAAATTATATCGTCCAGTAGCATCTTGAGGAAGGGTATATAGAAGTCAGTTTTTTGAGACATCTTGCTTTGATTATTTATTACTTTATAATAAATTACTCCAAAACTGTTTTAGTGGCTTAAAACAATAATAAACATTTTTAATTTTAGTCTTTATGGCCAGAGGAATTTGAAACCTATTTAGACGGGCAGTTTAAATTTTTTTTTTTAGTTGTAGATGGACACAATATCTTTATTTTTATTTGTTTATTTTTATGTGGTGCTGAGGATCGAACCTCACACATGCGAGGCAAGCACTCTACCGCTGAGCCACAACCCTAGTCTCTAGATGGGCAGTCTTGTTCAGGGTATTGCAAGAAGTTGGAGTGAAGTTGACCTGTTGACAGGAATGCAGTTATCTGATAGCTTGACTGGAGGCTGGAAGATCTCCTTCTGAGGTGACTTACTCCCAAGGCTAGCCAGTTGTAGGTTCTTGGTTGGGAGCCTTAGTTCTCCCCACATGCTCCTGTCCACAGGTGTTTGAGTGTCCTGATGGCCAAGTTCTTTTAGACTGAGTGATCCAAGAGAGCAAAACAGAAGTAACAGTGTTTTCTTACGAGCTAGATATCTGTCACATCCTCCTCTTTAAAAAAGTGACTTACTAATTTCTGCCCCCATTCAAGGAGAGAGCAATTAGTCTGCCCCTGCTTTTTTTGTCTACTGTCTTAAGTTAGGAGTATCAAAGAATTATTTACAACTTCTACACTTTTCTTGTCCAAAAACATCTTTAACTCTTACAGTTAAGATTATGGAATTCTAGACATTCTAGTATGGAATCTGTGTTTTTTTCAGTTGTTTTTTTTTTTATTATCAAAAAATTGAACCAAGGGACACTTACTTAACCACTGAGTCATAGCTCTAGCCTTTTAAAAAATATTTTATTTAGAGGCAGGGTCTCGCAGAGCTGCTTAGGGTCTCACTGAGTTGCTGAGGCTGGCTTTGAACTTGTGATCCTCCTGTCTCAGCCACCTGAGCCACTGGAATTACAGGCACATGCCACTGTGCGTGGCTGGCTCCTTGGAATTTTGAAGGCATGAATGTTTATCATTTTGATTCCTGATCCTGACCTGTTTTAGTTGTTTAACACGTTTAACATTTTCTCTTTGTCCTTGGTGTTGAGAAACAGCAAGATGATGTACCTTAGTGTGGGTCTTTTTTTTTCATTCATTTTGCTGGATTCTTAGAGGATTATTTTATTTGTTAGTATGGGTATTGAACCCAAAGGGTCTCTACTCCAACTCCTTTATTTTGGAAAAAAATCTCCATGAGTAGCCTAGTCTGGCCTTGAACTTATGATGTTCCTRTCTCAGCTTCCTGTCATTGGGGTATGCCACTGCACCTGACCTTAGTCCATTTTTAAAAATCTATAATATAAAGCAAAGATTTACTAGTTATTTCTCAGGATATAGTTAAACTCATTTTTTTCCATTTTCATTAACTTTCCAGATGATTTGAAAAATCATCTTTATCATTTCCCCACAACCAGGGTCTGTTTCTAAGTTTTAAAATTCTAATCTGTATATTTTAATAATTTCAATGCATTATACTTTAAATAAATGTAGGTTTTTAATATGTGTCACTCTCTGATAATGCTAGTCCTTAAAAATCTCCCAGGGCTCCAATCCTGAAGGAAGTTGAAAACTGAGGTATCTCAAGTTGGGACAACCACCAAAGGGGAGTTGATTCAGAACACAACTTACTGTGAGGATAGTACAAAAATGGAAACTTGGGGCCATTCTCTTGGGGTTCTTTAAAGTTGCACTGAGGAGAGCAGCATAGGTGTCAGTCTGAGAAAGGGGTGGTGATCAGGTTCTAAGTGTGAAAAGTGGAGTGATGTAGGATATTGAATTCAAATATATACATGTAAATGTTTTTTTTTTTTTCCTTGTTGTTTTATTTGTGGTGCTGGGGATTGAACCCAGGGTCTTGTGCATGTTAGGCAAACACTGTGCCACTGAGCTACCTCTTCAGCCCAGTAAATAGTATTTTTAAATGATTAAATTACCCATTGAACATAGAATCCTCTATAGGCACCAAAACAAGGGAGTTTGGGTATTCCTTTCTTTTCTAGATATCCTCTAGTTGTTCTATTCTGACTTTCTTTCCTCTTTAGGGAGCCTTTTGAAAGTCCTGCAAGGTGGAAAAGAATTTTCTAAAAGAATAGGAGAGAAACAAGAAAGGGAATGGATTCAAGGAACTTCTATCTGTACCTTTAATAACTTTATTAATGCTTTCAAAGCTTTAAACATTTCAGTCTCATTGTGGCTTTTTAAAAATTATTATAAAGAATGATTAATGTACTTATTATAGAAGTTCTGCCCAGCCTAGGAAGGGAAGAGAATACACAAGTAAAACATTCATTTTTTTAAAAAACAATGCCTTTATATTTATTTATTTATTTTTATGTGGTGCTGAGGATCTAACCTAGTGCCTCTCCCACACTAGGCGAGTACTCTACCACTGAGTCACAACCCCAGCCCCCAAAGGTTCATATTTTTAAAAGCAGAAGGCTTATCCCTCCAGTTTTGTGTTTAGAATCATTTTGGTTAGGGAAACTATATCTGTTTATAGCTGCTATAGTGTCTTGACCATGGAGGGGGCCTACTTTTTTTTTACTCTGATAAATAGCACTTCCCAGTTCTTATAGCACATTGTATATAAGGCTGGAATATTTCAAAAGACTTTACCAAAATGAGTACAAGCAAAGGGAAGTATAGAAAGCAACATGCAATATTTTTTTCATATGACACATGATATCTAGTTCTAGTCTTTTTCAGCTTTGCTTTCKTTCTAGCTCTTGGTTTGCTTCTTATTGACAAAAACCATCTTTTCCCTATCATGTAGGACAACCTTCGGGCATGTATAGACTGTAAATTATTTCAAACTCAAAAGGTAGGAGACATGCTTACTACCTGAGTGTAACTTAATGTCTTYCATAAAAAGTTCAATCTAACTATATCACAGAAGCTTCCACAAGGCAGTCATATCTAGCTATATCCCAATAGCCTAGTATCCTTCCTAGAGATAAGCATGTGATGGGTGGGTTGGGAAACTTGTCAAAAGGTTTTTATAAAGTGGATCTGTGTAATATGTGTGCATTTTATAGCTTTTATAATAAAGGCTATAATGTTATATAATCAAAAACAATGGATTGGACCTTATAGACCTGGGTTTTAATCTGATATGCCAGTAAATAGCCTTGTCTGTCTTTGCAGGTTAATCTGTCTATAGTTTTATAGAGAGATTTGATATAATTAGTATGTAATTTTGACTCTAATTGAATGATTTAAATGGTTATATTAAAATTTTACTTAAATCTTTCTCTTTATGATATATTGGGCTATTTAATATAACACTGTAACAATAAAGGCCCAGTTATCATCCTGTTAGAAAATATGATCCATTTTATAATGATATACTTAAAATGTCAGGTTCTCCACTATGGTGACAGGTGAGACCTACTTATATTTAAGAGGCCATGAGAGCTTGCTGTGAGTTTTTTTTTTTTTAATAAATATTTACCTCTTTATCACATACTAATTTAGATATTCTTAAGGAGAATATAATTTCATGTAGTTAAATCTATATTTAGATTCTATTTTCTCATTTTATTTCTTTCATCTATGTGACATTTCTTCTTTAAAATTTTCAAGTAGAACCAAAACCAAACAAACAATCATGAATAAATTATTTGGTCTTAAGTGAAATAGAACTACATTTTCATTCTACTTAAGTATAATCTATTTTTTCAGAGTGAAAAGCTTTTGTTATACGATACAGTCCAGAGTGAGCTGGAGGAGAAGATAAGAAGGCTTGAGGAGGACAGGCACAGCATTGACATTACTTCAGGTGACAGGAGTGACATGATGGTGATGTTTGTGACACCAAACCTTCTGTAGTACTTCATAATATCTTTGTCTTCTGCTATTAACTTGATGTAAACAGAATGTCCCAAGAGGAGGGAAAAAAGGGTGATTTCTAAAGAATTTGATATGATTATGATTATAACTTTGATTTGAACTTACTCTTTAGAAATATGTAAAAAAAATAGAGCACATGAAAAGAAATGCTGACAGACTGAAGTATGACAAAAACCCACTGTAAGAATGGAACCGTGGTACTATTCTTATATATCGTAGACAGTTACCGTTTATGTTCTTCACTCTAAATTTTGAAAGACTGTCATGTGGGACAAGGAATACAAACCTTTTCTCTTTGGCATCAAACTGTGATGAGTGGAGAAATGTTACAGGGAGGTAGATTTTTGTTTCAGGAAAAAGAAATATGTATTTTTAATTAGATCAGTCCAGTATGAAATTGGCCATTTCTGGGGCATTATAGAAAGATTTTCTATATTGTGTGGAAGRTTTATGTTTTAGTCAGCTTTTGCATTGATGTGACCAAAATACCTGACGAGAGCAGCTTAGAGGAGGAAAAGTTTATTTGGGGCTCGTAGTTTCAGAGCTCTTAGTCCATAGATGGTTGATTTATTGTTCTGGGCCTAAGGTGAGGTAGCACATTATGGGAGAGGGCCTAGTAGAGAAAAGCTGCTTAGTTTTGGCGGGGTCAGGAAGGAGAGATAGTGAGTGGGAAAGGGGTCACAGGGAACATGCACCTTTCTAGGGTACACCACAGTCACTTACCTCCTCTAGCTATGCCTCCCCTGCCTACCGTTACCACCAAGTAAGTCCATGAAGTCTAGGATGGAATGCTGAGGTTATAGCTCTCAGGACTGAATAATTTTACCTCTGAATATTTTTGCATGAATAGGAGCTTTTGGGGGATACCTCATATCCAAATCATAACATTCTGTCCTTAACCCCCAAAAGCTCAAGTAAATATCACAATGCAAAATGCATTTAGTCTATCTCTAAGAGTCCCATAGTTTTAACATTTTCAGCAATTCCCATAATTTCAAGTCTAACGTCTCCTGAGATTCTAGGCAAACTCTTGGCTATGAACCTCTGTAAAGATCAAAAGCAAGTTGCATATATTCAATATACAGTGGCATAGAGTAAACACTTCCATTCCAAAAGGTAGGAATAAGGCATAATAAAGGAAGGATGGGGCCAAAGCAAGACTGAAACCCAGCCAGGCAAATAGGTTCTGTAACTTTACATACAATGTCTAGGACACTTGGCTATTAATTGTTACTTCCAGAGGACTTGGATAACCCTGCCCCATTTGGCCTTGGTGGTTGTTTAACACACATGGCCTCTCAGTTAGCCTGGCTGTCTCTGCAGCCAGTACTTTTTCTCAGCAGACAGTTCAGGTTACTGGCCATTTTTAATTCCTGAGATCGCCATTCCAGTTTAGGTTTCATCTTCACAGCTTCATGCACCTTTCTCTGAGGCAGCCTACAGGRACCCTGACCCTGCTACACTTTGCTTGGCTCCCCAGACCTTCCTTTGAAACCTCAGTGGAAGCCTCCATGACCCTTTAACTCAGCATTCTGCATGCCTGCAGAACCAGCTCAACATGGTGAAACAGCTTCCTAAACCCGCCTCTGCTAGCAGTGACCCCCATGATCTGTTCTGAAAAGAAATCTCCCTTCTGTACCCTGGAACCTTAATAGTGAGTGTGGTCTTGCAAATTCCTGAGATGCCCACAGAGTCCAGTGTGAATTTGGTATTTCCGGGGTATGATAGAAAGGTTTTGGGTTATGATTTCAGAGATCTTAGTTCACAGATRGCTGACTCCATTGCTCTGGGCATCAAGGGGAAAGCTGCTTAGCTATGGTGGGGTCAGGAAGCAGAAAGAGGTGAAGGGGACACAGGAAAGGTGCACTCTTCTAGGGCACATCCAGTCACCCACCTCCTCTAGCCATTCTCTAGCTGCCTACAGTTACCACCCAGTCAGTCCATGTAGTCTAGGATGGACTAATGAGGTTACAGCTTTCACAGTTGAATCATTTTATCTCTGAATATTTCTGCATTAACAGGAGCTGTTGGGGTTACCTCATATCCAAACCATAAYAGTTTACTAGGTTATCCTATAATTCTTGAGTATATATTATTTTATCCATTATAAATTTTGTTTCTCTGATATAGAGTAGCCATGTTGGAAGCAGATATCCTGAGGTCTGATGTCATTGCTCTCTTACCAACTAGTTGGGTGGCTATGGACAGTTATTTGGCTTTTCTAAACCAGTCTCTGAGTCTATTAAAGTGAAATAGTAAGAGTACCTACCTTAGAGGTAGCTTTGAGGATTAGGCAAAACAATGCATATAATATATATTTGATAAAGTACTTGACATATGCTCTTTAATTATTAGTCACTAAGTGCCAAATTGATTTTCACTTTAATAAAAGCAGRGGATAATTCATAAATATATAGATGCTCATGAGTTATATGCAGTCTTATGTATATAAACTTTGTAAATGTTTTATATGTAAATAAATAGCAACCATGAAAGTATAGTCCTTTTTTCTCATGTGGTCGCTAGAAGTCAGCTAATACTTAATTTTTATTTGATTGCCAGAGTTGTGGAATGATGAACTTCAGTCAAGAAAAAAGAGAAAGGATCCTTTCAGTCCTGACAAAAAGAAGCCAGTTGTTGTCTCAGATATCCTTTTCTAAATTTTCTGGACTTTTTTTCTTTGTACATTTTTGATTTGTGTAATACTTTTATAATTTTTGACTAGTACACATTAACTTTATTTAAATGGTCCTGTAATAAACAGAGGTGATTGAAGGTAGAAGATATAATTTAGATTTAAATGGTCATGGGAGAAGATATTTACTCCCCATCTCAACTGTGAAAAATAATGTGGTTTTACAGTTCATCAGGGCTTTGATGTGAAACAGTTGTTTAGTATACAGCATGATTAATTCTGTGTACTTTTAAAAAATGTTTTGTTGTTTCCCAAATTGAAATTTCCCTAAATAATAACTAATATATACATCAGTCTTGCCATTTCGTATGATACTTTCCCCCAATCCCTGTCTTTTTCCCCCTCTACCTTAAAAACAGTGATTGGTTGGTGCTGTATTTTACAATCAATGATAGCCTAGGATTAAGGGTATATGCTTATGGCATTAAAGGTACTAGAATATATTTATTCTAATACTAAGATTTTTAAAGTAATTTGAAGTCATAATTCTTAATGCCAAAGAATTATGTCCATAAATCATTGTTTTATTCTCTGAAAACTAGGAACCTTGAAATTAGAATTAAAAATGTGATATTCTTACAGCTAAATTAACCTTGACTTTTGAACGTCCATATATAGTTTATATGCTACAAGATCTTGATATTCTTGAAGACTGGACAACAATTAGGAAGGTATGATTAAAGAATGATGGATCACAAGTATATTTTTGTAGACTACTTTTTAAAATTTTATGTTTTTTTACTAATATATAAAAATAGAATTATTATAAATGTGCTTTGCTTTGGCAATATTTTCTCTAAGGCAAGTAACACTATTACAAATAATAGTGGGCTACAAAAGTATTTTAAGAATTAGAAACATGTCAGCAGTTTGTAATTTTTCCATAATATGTGACTAATAATTTATGCAAGAGTACAGAAAAGCATTTATTTAGTTTACCCAATAATAATAATAATATCATTGTTCTATGCCTAGTGCTTAACTTGGTCCTGGCTCATAGAAGACACCCAATATTTGTTGAATGAACAAAAGTGAACATTTGAACCGTTATATAATTATATGTCAATCATCCTGTCATTAAATAGTCAAGAATTATAGACATTTCTGTGCTTGTTTAAAAGTGAAGCTTTGTTTTCTTTTTAAAGTTTTCCATTTTTAAAAACTGTTTAGTTGAGAGTTAGAAATTATTTCAGGTATTGATAATATCTTTAGGAAAAATTGTTATTCTTTGTGTATATTCTTTATCATCTTAGACATTAAGAATTTATTAGAGCAGCTAGTAGTTATATTTTACTGTATTTATTATTGAGCCAATCAGTAGTGTTGTTTATATGAAATAGATATCAAAATGTGTTTTCAGTCTCAACTCAAGACAACTTCTCCCCCCCCCCCTTTTTTTTTTTTTTTTTTAAATTAAGGCAATGGCTACACTGGGTCCACACAGAGTGAAAACAGAACGTAAGTCATGAGTTGAGAAGACTTGTTGAATCATGGATGTTAAAATCATCTGCATACTATTTAACTCCCCCACCAGTGGTTTCATTTTATCAACAAACACTATACCTGAAATTAGGAAGAATTCTGGAATCTCTTGTTCATGTAAAAGTTTCAAAATTTCTGGATGCAGTATATTTCTTCTTTCCGTGTTCACTATTTGCTAATAATGAATCAGTAATTAAAAGAGTATTTATTTTGTATTTTTTAATGGACTAGTGATTTTTTAGGGGAGATGTTTGGCATTTGTAGATTGACTTCAGGGATTCTGTGGATCCTCTGAAGTTGAGGACAAAGTTTCTTATGTGTGTGTTTTCTCTAGGGAGGGAGAGATTAGAATGCTGACAGCAGAGTCCATCCAAGAAATTTATTGTCCACCAAGATTAACACATTTTTGATATGCCTTAGTAAAATTTACATCAAATTACATTTTCTTGATTTTTTTTTTTTTTGGCACTACTTGGGAGGGCCATTCTACCACCGAACTATACCCCCAGCCTTTTATATTTTTTGAGACAGAGTCTCACTAAATTGCTCAGGCTAGCCTCGAACTTGCAATATTYCTGCCTCAGCCTTCCAAATAGCTGGGACTACAGGCCCGATTCCTGTGCTTGACTTCTTGACTTGTTTTTAAAATCACTACCAGCATTTCAATGGGCATTAGTGTCTAGGATAACTTTCTCTATTTTTGCCTTTTTTCACTAGAGGAAAGATTTCCTTTATGGATGAAGCTAGGTTTTTAAAAACATATGTTTCAAATACTAGGGAAAGGTCTTTCTAATCACATTCTAGCAGATAATCTATTAAGAGATTGATTTCCATTTTATCTTTAATCCAAGGAATTCTCTAAGCTTTATTTCATGTCAAGAAATTGCAGCAGTGTTATACTGAAGTACTACCCTTAGGAATTAACTGGAATGGCAACTTCCTAAATCTCTAGAGCAGTAGTTCTTAACATTTCGGGGTCTCCCCTAATCCCTGTTATCTTCGTTATTGCATCCCATTTGTTTTCTTGATAGCACTTATCTCAGTTTGTACTTTTAAATTAATTGTTTACTTGTCTGTCTTCTGACTGAATTATAAGCTCCATGAAGTCTATCACCTTGTCTCTTTTTGTCACCATTTTTCCCCCAGCATTGTTCATTTTGTATAGGAAGTGCTCAGACATTTATTGAATGAATGAATTAACAAAAGAATGCATACTTACTGAACACCTTCTATATAACAGGAACCATTTTAGTTTATGTGTATACAATGGGAAAAAGGGATAGATCTTTTTGAACCTCTTTGGGGAAGGTGGAATAATATATATGTAGATAAGCAATTAATTGTTATGAAGGAAGTATAAAGTTGTGATTATAATTAGCTAAGGATTGGGTAGAGTGGTTAGGGAAGACCTCTCTGAGGAAGTGACATTTGAATGATGAAGAGGTGCCTTCTTCATGTGCTTTTTACCACGTGCTTCTATAAGGAACATTTTTTTCCCCTTGCATTGAGTTTATCTGACTAATGCCAAACCATTTCTGGGGTTAAAATAGAAGTTCTACTTTAATCATTTTTAGAATTAAAATTCTTGGGAAACTTTTGAATATATATTAAAGTCTGCTTTTTTGAAAGGGTCACATCATATGCCTTTCAAAGGAGAAAACACAAAAAGTACAATTTTCAGTGGAAATATGGCAATTATTTTTAGTACTATTTAAAACTGGCACTTACTACTTAAACTAATAATTGGTAATGCACCTACTTCCCCCTTAAGGCACATATCTAATCTATGGTTTATTGTTTACTGTTTAACTTATTTATATTAAAAACAGTGAATTTATGAAAAAATGTAAGAAATCAAATTATCTTGTGTTTATTAGATTTTAGGTTTGTAACTAGAAATACTTTCAGTATTTTTTCATATGTGTATGCATGGATTGGTGTTAGCTTTTAATGTCCTGACCCTTTTGTTCTTCTGACAATGTCTTATTAATATAACAGTTTTTGAACTGATCCCTTTAGCACCTGTGAAACTGGAAAAACATCTGCACAGTGCTAGATCTGAAGAGGGAAGACTATATTATGATGGTGAATGGTACATACGTGGACAGACAATATGTATTGATAAAAAAGATGAATGTCCTACGAGGTAAGTAGCTTTTATCATTGTAATGTTACTTAGTATATTTTTTAAAGTACCATTGTCAATAAATATTCACAGCCTCCCTAGGGTATTTATAATGTGTCATTAGTTGGGTGTGGATCCTTTTTTCACTTGACATATGATTTGATCACATGAGTTTACACAAGAGTACATATTAAGTTCATGAATACAAGCATTAATACAAGTGGAAGTATTGGAATTATTTATCCAGGTAAGTAATTCTGTTTGTTAATTCTTACACTAGGTTAATTGTTATGATCATAATATAATGACCTTTAACCAGACAGTTACAAATTTTTGGTGGACCTATTGTGTTAGTCAGCTCTTTGTCGCTGTGACCAAAACACCTGACAAGAACAACTGAGAGGAGGACAAGTGTAATTTGGGCTCACAGTTTCAGAGGTTCAGTACACAGTGGCTAATTACCATTAAGCATTTTTCCAGTTATATGAACACAATTGAGTAAGTTTACACAACTTAGATAGTAYAGGTCAGTCACTTAAGTGGCCTTGATGCAATCAAGACAGGTGGTATACATGAGATGTCTGAGGCTCCTGCCATGTAACACAGCATGCTGTTTTACAGTAGCCTTTTTTTTTTAATTTAAATAAGTAGAAAGAGTATACTCTAAAATTATGATAAAAGTATAGTATAGTAAATGTATAAACCAGTAACAGTCATTTATTATCAAGTATTATGTATTATACATAGTTGTGCTGTATTTTTATATGACTGGCAGCTAAGTAGGTTTTTTTTATGTCAGCATTACCACAAACAGGTAAGTGATACATCATGCTCTGTTTTGACAGATATGACCATCAGAGGATAGGAATTTTTCAGCTTCATTATAATCTTATTGGAACCACTGTTATATATGAGGTACATATTGACTGAAGTGTCATGAAGGGCATGACTGTAGATCTAATAGTAAAATTTACCAATTCTTATTAAGAAAAGAAAGATTATTATCTATTGAGTGTTACTGAATGTGATATTCTTTTTTTTTAAATGTCTTTTTTTAAAAATGTGTATTTTTTAGGGGCTGGAGATGTGGCTCAAGTGGTAGCGTGCTCGCCTGGCATGCGTGTGGTTCGATCCTTAGCATCACATACAAACAAAGATGTTGTGTCCGCCGAAAACTAAAAAAAAGTAAAATAATAAAATGTGTGTTTTTTAGTTGTAGTTGGACACAGTATCTTTATTTTACTTATTTATTTTTATGTGGTGCTGAGGATSGAACCCAAGGCCTCGCATGTGCTAGGTTAGCTCTCTATCGCTGAGCCACACCCCAAGCCCCTGAATGTGATATTCTTGACTACATGTCCTCTTGATAGGACAGTTAATAATCTGAGGAAAGAAGGCATATTGTAATTCATTCATTCATTCTTTCTTCTTCTTTTTTTTTCTTTTTAGTGCCGTAATTACAACAATTAACCATGATGAAGTTTGGTTTAAGAGGCCTGATGGAAGCAAATCTAAGCTTTACATTTCCCAACTACAGAAAGGAAAATATTCAATTAAACATTCGTAATCATGATTTAAGTGTTATCTAAATYTACCTTATTAGTGTTACCAAGTGTGATTTGCCAAGGGAGTAAAAAACTGTATTCAATAATTTAATATTCTCATCAAATCCTGAGAGAATGTGTATTTGTAGGTAGTACTCTAAGTAGATCTCCTATTGATATGTTATTAAAAGAAATACTAATAACAATTTAATCATGATCAGTACATTTATATTATGTACAATGACCAATAAGTGTATATGGTAGGGATTTCTTTTTAATAATTTTTTGTTTTTAAAAAAATTATGCAAATCTGCCTCATCTTTAGTGAACTATGGCTACATTTATCTGCAGTTTTAAAATTTTCCATATCTTTGTCACTCATCATGTTTGTAAATAAGACTGATAAAATGTTTCCTATGAATGGTTTGTACCAGTACATTAGTGTGAAATCAGAATTGAAATTTAAACATATATTGTGAGTATGTATATATGGCATCATCAGCTTATTTAGAACTGATGGCCTTACCTTACAATCTTGTTTTACCCAAAATTAAACTATTGGGTTTGAAAGCTAAAAGGAGCACTTTTGTAGAATAGCTTTCCTTTTCCTCTTCCTTGATTGTATGGTGGTGACCTTTTTTAATGAATTATACTTAATGTTAATTAGTAAAATTAGTGTCAAGTGATAACATGTTTCTACCTGTATTTCTTGTGACCCTTTTGAGGGCAGGTGTTCATGCCTGGTATTTATGATGCAGTATGTTAGTGGTGAATAGTAACTGACAGTATTGTGGTGCTTGCTGTACATGTCTGATCTTTTGAAACAGATTTTTAGTAAGCATTTTCCAGAGGTAAAAACTAGGTCCTTATTCTAATTTTATTCATAGGGCAAAATAGGGATAATTTCCTTGAGTCTATTCCCAAATTAATATTTTTATCTTTGGCGTTTTTACACTTTAGGGCCATTTGGTGCAATTTAGAGAGTGTTGGCCTCCCTTCCCATAGCCACATTCAAAATGAACTTCCAAAGCCTCAGGAACAGTACAAAGAATTGAAACCCTCAATATGGCAGCACAGTTGGCTGTAGTATATATTTAGGGTACAACCAAATCATGTATTCCTGGTGGTCTTATGCACTTTAATTTCTGTTACAACAAGACTTAAGAGGATGAGGAAGAAATCTACATATTAACACTTAGTGCCAGAGTATCTGCATGATTCCGTTTGTTTTCTTACTGTTTTACCTCTGCAAACATCCTGTGCAGATCACTACTTCGCAGTTGCCAAATTTTAAAACATTTGACTTCTGAAATTCAATATCAGCAAAGTTATGCTACTTTGTTTTATTTCTAATTAACCTTAGCAACTGTACATAATGTCATAATCCAGTATTTGACAGTTCTTATGTATACAATGTTTGATAAGCATTTTTAATAAGATTTGTATTTTTAAATTTAGTATATAATAAAAAGATGTGCTTGAGTGTCATTTGCAGTGTCTTGAATTACTTCCGCACATTTAGTTCTTTTATTATTTGTAACCTGTCCACTTCTAAGAAAGATTTGAACTGTTTTAACATTAATAGATATGGAGTGGTAGAGTGTTGCACAAGTGTTTCTGCTTTCCTAAACCACAATTAAGCCTCTTTTGGGTTCTATTTGGATGTTGAAGAAAGCTAAGTTATGCTTAATTAAAAATATTCATGCATACATATTGTACTTTAATAAAAATGTACTGTTGAAATTATAAATTATAAATAGAAACTATTTAAAAACTATGATTTAGTATATTTATTTTCAAAAATTTATTATTTATGTCATATATACTATTCTACCTTAACATAAGATTCAGGAGAGTATATGCTCATCTTTGATTAAAATACTAAAAAATATATTTTGCTTTTGGCAATTTCTTCTTAGTCTTCTGGTTGGAAGTTTAATTTAGGAGAATTGTTAGAAATTCTGAAATGTCTTGTAGCAGTAGCAGCCTGCTACTGTTTATGATCCGATTCTGTCTTAGAATTAAATGCTGGAACTTTCCTGGCAAAGCTTCCAGTTTTTCATGTTCAGTCCACCTTTTCCTCCCATTTCTCTTAAAAAAAATGATCCCAATCATCACTAATCTAATTCATCAACTAATAATTAACAAGTGGTAATGTCATAMTCCTCACTGATACCTGTTTTCATTGTTCATGTTGGTGAACTGGGTACTGAGTACATTTCATTGTAGTCTTCTTCATGTAAAAGTTGTTTTGACATACATCTTTGAATGAATGTATTAGTTAGCATTTATGTTGTCTCTTGCCAAATTGGAATGTAAACTATTTTATTTGCTAAATATGAGGTGATCTAAAATACTAAAAAAAAAAAAAAAAGTAAAGAACAGCTCAGAATGGGGTTAGAGAAAATGCATCTCTCTTACATTTTCTTTGTGGGTGAACTTCAGAAATTGTGTTGGTACAGTAGGGGGTATTTGTGGGCCAGAGTTATGTCATCTGACAGATCATTGAGTTCTTTTTAGACCATATACCTTACCACTCTGGCCAGTTTATTGGACCACTTTGGCCGATAATTGATGGGCAGCCAGTGATAATACTACTTGTGATTTAAGTGCACGTACCAGGAACTGTCTATAAACTTAAAGTTGTTATTTAACATTTTTTCATGTTTAAAATGAAACGAATATAAATGTAAGAATTCTGGCATGTTTACTGTTTACATATTAGTGATATATTAGGACCTTCTGGTCATATTTTTTTCTTAGCTACAGAAAACTAAAATTTGTAAGTCTAAAAATTCTTTTTTTTTAGTCTAGAAATTCTTTGCTCCTAAAGTTGAAGCTAGTGTAGTCTCTTTTGAGACACATTTTATAAAAGGAAGGTCAAAAGAAGATGTTATATAGTGTTAGAATCTAGAGTCATTTTCTCTCTCCTTTTTCCCTGTATAGGTTTGAGGTGGGTGACCTTGTCAGATTGTTACACTCTCCTGGAGAGAGAAATTCCATCCTTCTATCCAGAAGGAGGTTATATGGTACCATCTCATCTCTGTTAGTAAAGATCACAGATTATGTTGGGGTTGTAAGCCCTAGAACTGATTTTTTTTCCTTCTTTTTTTTCCTTCTTTTTCAGCTGGACTTAATTCCTTTCGAAGCGCTCTGGGTTCTTCTTCCTCAGGAAATGTTTCTTTCCTGATCTGATCTAATGGATGGTCCTAATGAGAACATCCATTTCTCTAATGCCCCAACATTCTTGGTTCCAGTTGCCTGCTCAGATGTTCATATTACTCATGTTCCCCCAATTAGAGCCCTTCCCTGGAATTTCTTTTGTTTTATTTATTTTAAAGTTTTAGGTGGACTTAATATCTTTATTTTATATTTATGTGGTGCTTAGGATCGAACCCAGTGCCTCGTGCATGCTAGGCAAGCACTCTACCACTAAGCCACAACTCCAGCCCTTCCCTGGAATTTCTAAAACTGTAACTGTGAAAGGGAATCAAGTCTCACTTTGATGTGAAACTGGGGTAATCAAACTTCGAAACTATGCAGAGTTATGTTTCTTGCCGTGTGGAGAGATCTAAAGAAATGAGAGATGGATAGTTCCTTAGTGTTTAATTTCCTGATATTAGCTGACCTCTAATCCAGCTACATGATAATCTTCTTCATGTTACATGGGTCTTCTAATAAATTCCTTTTTCTAAATTATTTTGAGCTGCTCTCATTCTTTTATAATGTTTATGATAAATACTAGTGTTTCATATTCTATTGAATTTCATCTTGAAAATAATCATTATGGTTTGGGTTTTAAATGTCCACTAAAGACTCATATGTTAAAGGCTTGGTCACCAGTCTATGGGGCTATTGAGAAGTGAGGCCTAGTGGGAGAAAGTTAGGTCATTGGGAAGGGAACCCTAGTCCCACTCTCCCTTTCTCTCTCTGTTTCCCTACCACCAAGAGGTGGGTACTTTTCCGCTGCCAGGAACTTCACCTAAGATGTTCTGCCTCACTAGAGGCCCAAACCACCACGAACTGAAAATTCCAAAACCATGAGCCAAAATAAAAAATTTCCTCATGAACTATATATCTCAGGTATTTTGTTAAAGCAGCAGGAACCTGACTAATAGAAACTTTTATAATTTCATTGCAAATTCAAGAATAAAACACATTCAGAGAATTGAAAATTTACATGTGAAGAAGTGAAAAGCAGTCTCTGGTACTAGGAACTGCCTACCACTCACAACTAGGCCTTCCTTGGTCTTCCCTTGTGAATATCAACAATTGCATGGAATATCAACATCAAACAAGGCCATTCTGTGACCATGATAAATTGAGACAATAAAGATCCCTGTCAAACTCCTCAAATCTTGTCTAACTAGAGACATAAACAAGGTCAATCTGCAAATCACAAAAATGCTAAGTATTCCCCTATGCTGGCTTCTGTGAATGACAGCTCCTTCTTTACTAATTATAACTTTAGCCTCACTTCATTCCTCCTGCTTTATAAATAAGATTTAAGATGCCCAATGGTAGTATTACCCCCACTCCCTGACAGTGTTTTATCCATGGTCTTGAAGCAAAGCCCATTTCCTTGAACTACTCAAAATCTTCTAATTCAAGCTCAAATTCCATAGGTCCTCTCTAATACCTTTTTACTCAGACACCCACAGTTCCCTGTGGTGTACTTTCCTCCTTAATGCAATGAGCAAGAAACCCAACTTGTTCAACACAGATATGTTCTGGTCATCTTTAGCTGGAGGGCACTGCCATATGGAACATTTAAAGCAGTTTTGCTTTAAGGATTTTCATTAAATATAGCCTAGAAATGCTGTAGTACATTTTGGACAGTGTTCTTTGGGCTTCCAGGATATACTATTAACCAGGGGCTGTCTCCTGAAAATGAAAAAGTTGTAGTCTCAATGCATTTTGATTAAAACCTGAAGGTGGCAGTAAATTCCTACAAGACTTAAGTGCTTAGTTTAGAATTTGTACTTTTTTCCTAATTATTCGAAATTACATAATGAGGCTGTTGTTGTATTTAATCCTATTGCATACTAATTAAGGGATATTAAGAAGAAGATAAAGTTCTAAACAAGGATTATGTTTTTATTACTGTTTGCTAACTGAAAAGAATTTGCCATGAAAAAGGCTTAGGGACATTGCAACTGATTATATGCTTTAGAGTTACTATAGAAACAAGCACGTAATTAAAAGGAAACAACTTTTAATACAGATCAAAGTGCTCTGAAAGGATGTGGAAATAATATACAGTTTACATTTGTCTATTAAATCAATAACCATGTTGTAAGCTTTTGCCTMACAGTTTCCTGATTGCACCTCAAAATTTTTAAAATGAAATTTTGTATGGTTATGTTTTTACCTAATTACCTATTTAGAATTTCTAGAATATCATTTATCACAAATAGTCTACTTGATAATATGGAAAATTTACAGATTGCAAATTTATAAATATTAATTCATGCTGGAAAATGAAATTCTTCATTTTTTTTACATCAAGATCTAGAACTAGATTGTTTATAGTTTTTTTTTTTTTTATTGAGGGATAAACATTGTCATTGGCCCATTGAGTTATACCAAAGTGTAGGGAGATTTTGGTGACTTCAACATATAGACACAAGATTATTAGAACTTTGAAAATTAGGAAGCATAGGATTTCTATAATTTTTCGAGTCAAATTTTAAGCAGGTATGTATGTGTTATTGTATAAATACATAAAGTAGCTAATTAAATTTTTTTTTTAGTTGTAGTTGGACACAATATCTTTATTTATTTTTATGTGGTGCTAAGGATCCAACCCAGTGCCTCACACATGTGAGGTGGACACTCTACCAATTAGCTACAGCCCCAGCCCAAGTAGCTAATTTTATTGAGAAAGATAAACAATGTTGAAACTTTAAATAACTTTCTATGACTATGGTTATAGAGGAATAAATATGCAGTTTAGAAATTATTAATTTGAATGATCTGAATTTTCTAGATTTATTTTCTCTCCACTTAATTTTATTTAGTTCTCTTTTAAGTCCAACTTCAAAATAAAATACATTAATTCATAAGATAAAATTAATTTTAATAAGATATAAATTAAATAATTCTACAAAATTTATTTTTATTTTATAGTCATCTTTTTTAGCCAGTTAGAAATTTTTATTTTATTTATTATTAGAGCTTTATGGTTATACATAGTAGCTGGTTCATCTCAAAAAACTCATACATGCATGGAAATTGATTTCAATTCATGATCCCCCCATTTTCTCTCCTCCTCCTCCTTCCTCTACTAGATTTCCTTTCACTTGTCTATTAATTTGTATTTGATTGGTTCTTTATGTAATCTTATCCTTCCCTCCTCTTTTCTGTAGAATTTTWAAATAATGATTGAAAGAGGATAGTTATAGATTTATTTGGTTTTGACYAGGAAAACACATGTTTGTGCCGGGCTTGATTGCGCACACCTGTAATCCCAGCGTCTCAGGAGGCTGAAACAGGAGGATSGAGAGTTCTTCAAAGCTAGCTCCAGCAAAAGCAAGGCACTAAGCAACTCAGTGAGACCCTGTCTGTAATACAGTACAAAATTGGGCTAGGGATGTGGCTCAAGGTTGAGCGCCCCTGAGTTCAATCCCTGACATCCCACCCCAGAGGCCCAAACAAAACCAAACCAAATTTGTTTGTGATACATACTTTTTTTTTTAAATTTTTTTTTTAGTTGTAGATGAACA